AATTTATGATTGAGAAAAAAAAAAGTGCACCTTCATGATATGAGTGGTGACCATCAATTCTTTTAAGTTTTTCTTAATCGTGTTTACATGGTTTCAAGATCTTTATTTGGATGTGGTATTAATTTATTCGTGTATTTTTTTGAATTACGATAACATAGTGAAGGTCCTTGTTTGAACAATACTGTTTTGGAGCCGTAGGATTCATTTAGATGAAGGGACCACCTCAAATTTGGGAATCTCATTCCCTAAAAAGGGGTCATCTCATCCCTTTCGTAATGAAAATTTTGATTCTCTGTTTATCAAATTGTAGGAAAGTAATCAAGGACTCACTTCAAACTTTGAAATTCCATTGCATGAAAAGGGGTAATCCCATTATACTCCTACAATCCCATCAATCTCATTCCTTATTCCGTGGATCCCACATATATATTATAATTAATGTACCTCTTTTACTCTCTCTCATCTATGGATTAAATCCATATAATTTTTAATTAGTTTTTAATACTTTTATAATTTCTTCTCCATTTATACTCCCATTTTTATTAATTGATGGTATTTTATTATATAATATTAATATTAATTAATATCAATAATTTTTTAAATAGATATTATTACTTTTAAATATTAGAATAGTAAAACTTAATAATATGTTTTATTAAAGTTTGGTTGTTCTACTAAAAATATTTTATTTGATGTAATTTTATTTTAATTATTCATTATGTATTAATATTAGATAAATTGTTATAATAAGAAATATTTACTATCAATAATATAGTAATAAATTAAATTAATATTTATTATTATTGTAATTTAAAAAAGATTATCACAATAATATATTTGTACAGCAGAAAGGGGTATATTAGTAATTATCCTGTATCTGATTCCGATTCCGATTCCAGACAGTTTTAGTAAACAACATCAAAGGAATTCTGATTACGATTCCAGAAAATTTCTCGTAAAAATAACATTATGATTCCGATTGATTTTCATTACAATTTCTTTCTATTAGGATTGCGGTTAAGTAAACGTGGCCTTAATTTACTACATTTACCCCTTCCACCTCATCTATTAATGATCCATAACTTATTTTTATTAATTATTTTATACTTTTATTAATTTTATTCATTTATACTACTAATAATTTTTCTTCTAATAAAAATTTATACAACTTTTATGAGATAAACGTAATTTTATTATAAAATATTATAAATTAATTTTATAATATTTATAATATTAATTAATATTTTATTTTAATTTGTTATTAATTAATCTCAATTGATTTTTAAAATATATCTCATTATTATTAAATATTAGAATAATAAATTTTAATAATGTTTTGTATTAAATGATGGCCGTTGTAACAAAAAAAAAATTAGTTTATGTAATTTATTTTAACTATGCTTTCATTTTTTATTTTACTTTGTTATAATTAATTAATATCAATAAAATATAATTCATTATTATTAAATACTAGAATAATAAAATTTAATAATATTTGATATTAATGATGGTTGTTCTAATAAAAAGTATTTTAGTTGATGTAATTTTATTTTAATTATTTACTTTACTTTGTTATTAATAATTATTATTAATAAATAATTTTAAATATAATTTATTATTATTAAATATATATATATATATTTTGAAATGTATTATTATTAAATATTAGAATAATAAAATTTAATAATATTTTATATTAAATGAAGGTTGTTCAAATAAAAGAAAGTATTTTAGTTAATGCAATTATATTTTAATTATGAATTATTTATTAATATTATATAAAATATTATAATAATAAACTATTCACTATCAATAATACAGTAATAAAATAAAATATATTATTATTTAATTACAAAAATTGGAACAATAATGATTTTGTAATAAGCTAGAAAGAAAGAAGGAAGGGTATACTAGAAATTATTATATATTTGATTTCGATTCCGATTTCAAACAGTTTTAATAAACAGCATCAAAAAAATTCTGATTCCGATTCTAGAAAATTTTTGATAAACAAATCAAACTAATAACATTTCTATTCCGATTGATTTTCATTTCCATTGATTCCGTTCCGGTTCTTGGTAAGTAAACATGAACTTAGTTTAAGGTTTGAAAAGATGCCCATAAATAGCAAATGTCTAATAGTAACATGTATGAGAATAATGTTATTTGAAATTAAAGATTATTGTATTTGATCATGCATACGAATGCTAATTTTATGAGAATAAATGATGTTTATATATATATGTTTATGAAATTCATCGCCACGATATTTTAGTTAATGAGCAAATCAAAATTAGTCCTAATAAATTAATTGATTATAAATAACTAATTTTAATATTGAAAAATAAATTATTATACTAAATTAGTGTAATTAATTATATGTTAAGATATTGTTAATTAATTAACTAATTAGTAATTTTAGAAAATAAGTAGTTGCATTCATTTAATAAAAATATTTCAGTAAAAATGAATTAAGTATGTATTTTAATAAGTTAACAAATAATTATTAATTTATTATAAATAAGTAATTAATTATATTAGTTCTGGTACATTATTAGTTAAAAGCATATATATATATATATCTATATATATTATTTTCATGTTTAACCTTATAAACATCGTACTAATTAAATAAGGGTATAAAAAAAAATCTTTATCCATTCCTATCTTCTGATCCCTTATACCAAACGACCCTTTAAAAGTCTTTATTCCCAAATGAAATTGATTTTTTATTTTTATTATTTTTATTTTTTTAAATGAATCACAACCATGTGGCATGGTTGATAGATTCTCCACCACAATCTTTAGTATCAAATGGTGACCAAACAACTTAAGATTTGCAAATGCCTAAAAGTCAAAGTAAATGAGTGTAGAAAATAATTTATATGGTCACTAACCAAAGTAGCATTTATAGACAAAGGAAAATAGTGTTGCAGCGGTCTTCTTACGTTATCATTAGTGGCTCTCATATATTCACGGATCAACTTTACCAGGTTGGCCAAAGTTGGAAGTTCAAAACTCTACCCCACATATTATTTAACTTAAAAAAATATATATATTTGTCACCGTTGGCATGAAAATGACTATAAAGTATATTCAATAAGAAGCCTTCGATGGGAGGTTGAGTGTTGAGTGGGGCGTTCATATACGATCCTGTGGTGAGGGTTGTGTCAGCTCGTAATGATCTTATCTCAAATCTTTCAAGTACTTTTGACTTGGTTATAAAGATGGCATCCCGAACATTCTCCCAAAGTTATATCCTATATTGGACTTAAGTTCTCACACTTCGCTTTTGACTACACTTAACATGTCTCGTACAAATGAAGATATTGTTCTTCACTTATATATTCATGATTTTTTTATATCGGACATCATTCATCCCAGCTTTGTCCTAGTGGCATTGTTTGTGCAATATCGTTGGTAATAATTATTAATGATATTACTTTGCATTGTTTATATCATGTAGACCCAAAAGTAGAGATGTCATATATAATCCATTAAGATAAATGTATATGGTAAGAATAGGATTGTCATTCTCTACACCTTATTAAAGTGTAATTTCTTAATAGAAATATTATAAGTAGCTTTTCTTTCCATTGCACTTAAATACATGGTTTATTTTAGGGTGATTTAAAATTTTAGTCAATATATTTTAATCGGTCAATCTAATTGATTATAATGAAACAACTAATCCACCAATATATCTCATAATAACTGCTGATTCGTAAATTCGATATTAATCAAGTTTACTTGTTTAATTTCGTTCTTCAATAAAAGCTATTCCTAGTATAGGACCAACCCAAGAATTTAGAGCAGTCCACACTCAGGGAAGGAAAGAGACCAATCAATGCAAACATGTGTTGGAGGCGATTTTCAACACACATGTGACACATATTGATTGGGTAATTGAAGTTATTCCACCTGACTTTCAGTGATAAGCTTCAAGTTTCACCACCTTAGTTTCGTCTCTTACGATCGAGGCGACGCCTAGCGTGGCCGAGCTGACCAAGCTTCCTTGAAAGTCTTGTTCCCATTTATTGGTTGAACTGACTATCTTCATTTCGGCCCAACCCCAATCTCCGACAGACTCCACGACAACACGCCATGATTCATGGCCACCTTAACAAGTTGTTGAGGCCTTCTTGGGGACATTATCGGGATAATTGCTTATAAATAGAATCCATTTACCTTATTTTCAGGTAAATGAACACTCAATTCTCTCTTGAGTTTAGTTCGTTCAGCTAGTGACTTTAGCATCAGAGTGTGTTCTGTTTTGCAAGTTCCTTGCTCAACCTATCTTCAATTCATCCATTGAGTCATCCTCAATCTGGGCTGAGGTTCGCAAAGTTGATCAATTTTGTGATCAAAGTACAACTTCTACTATCTACGGAGTGTCTATCATGGTATCCACACAATATTTTTTTCTTTATAAATTAATTATTCAATGTTGCGTCATTTTTTAAACCTTGTTTTACGCAGTACTTAGAACAAAATTTAGTATTCACATAAACATATTCATTGTTAGTCATATCAGCAATAATAAAGAACGATGGGACATTGAATAATTATTCATACTGTTTCAAAAAAAAAAATTATTCATAAATGGAAACT